GGGTTACTGATCCTGTCTGCCCCCCACTCCTCCCAGGAGGCTCACACCTCTGTCCACCTTTCCTGCCTTTGATCCCTCGTTCCTCTGATCTGCTGCCCAGTCCAGAGCGAGTCTCCCGCCTCTCTCCCTCTCTCTCCCTGTCCGGATCTCCTCGTTTTCCAGTGTGTGTGACAATAGCGGGCCCCGTTGCCAAATTCTGCCCTGCAGTGGACGGTGCAGATCGCTGGCGTCTCTCCAGCTTGCGTCAGTTCCAGACCCAGACCCAGAGTCAGAGTCTGCGCGGCTGACCCCCCCCCTCCTCCTCCTCCTCCTCCTCTCTCCCTCCCCGTCTCTCTGCAGGCTGCGCAGCCGGGGGCAGACGACCAATCGAAACGCAGCACCATGAGCAGCACCTGCGCAGCCTGCCAGAAGCACGTCCACCTGGTGCAGAGGTACCTGGCCGACGGCCGGCTGTACCACCGCAACTGCTTCAGGTAGGTCAGGGATTTCAGGAACGGCCTTACAAACCTCCTCGGACTCCCTCTCTCGCGCGCTCTCTCTCTCTTCCCACTTTCCTTCTGTCCCTCTCTTCCTGCCCCTCTCTCTCGCTCCTCTCACCCCTCCTCTTCCTTCCGGTCTCTCCCCCATCCCCTCTCCACCTCTGTGCTCCTAGCCTGCACGGGCGAGTGTGGTAGATACAAGCACGCCTGGCTTAGAAGCCAGCTGCTCCCTCTGTTCTCTGTGATCATCAGAGGTGTCGCTTTCTCAGGTGCAGGCAGTGCAGCAGCACCCTGCTGCCTGGGTCCTACCGAGCGGGCAGCGAGGAAGGGTCCCTCGTCTGTTCGCACCACTTCGGGAAGCCCCCAGCCAATCAGAACGGCCGGCCGGACCTCAGCAAGGGCGGGCGAGGGGGCGGGACGATGACGGCGACGCCCAGGGGAGGGGCCAGACCTGAGACCCCGCCTTCTGGGAGGGGCCAAGCACAGACTCTCCCCGTGGGTGGGCTGCCCGAGAGGGTGCCTGTGCTGGATACAAGGGAGAGTTCGGGATCGCAGGACAAGGAAAAAGGGGGGGAGGTGGAGGGGAAGGAGAAGGACAAAGAGGCAGAGAGCAAACCCCAACCCGCCGTGCCCCCGAATCCCTTCGAGGAGAGCGAGGACGAAGGAGAGCAGACGGAGAAAGGCCC